GAAGCTGGCCAGAGGCTCCTGTGGCCCTGCCCTCGGGAGCTTACAGGTGGTTGGGGGGACATGATGAAGACCTCCTGCTGAATTCCGGGGTAGTTGACTATGAGGATGGCAGTCAGGCTTCAGGAAAGACTGGTGATTACTAAGGGGCAACGTGCTCCCGCCCTCACATTTGTCACAGCAAAGGGTTGCCATTTCCTGTGAGGACACCAGGACAGAGTCTCAGACCTGCTGTATCTGCGTCCAGCAAAGTGTTTGGCAACGCGTCCCATGAGAACCCCGGGGAGAAGATGGGAAGATGGGGTCCATCTTGGTGTATTTGGGATGCCTCGTTATAAGGGGAATATGACACGTTAGAGTAAAAAGTGTGGCGTGGTCAAAGGGGCTGGGAAAATTACCCTGGAGAGGAAGGGGTATAGGTATGATCTGGTCGTTAAGTATCTGAAGGATATTTGTCCTGGGAGACAGAGATATAATTTGTTCTCTGAGGTCCCAGCCAGGACTAGGGGTGAGGGTAAGAGAGGTAGCCAGGGAGGATGTGATCTAATACAAATGGGTAAAAGTTATCTGGGCCCAATTTAAATTAATTGCTTCTTTCAAGAGCCCCCTACCCCTGGCACATGCTGTCGTGTGAGGTACCGAGTTCCCCATCACACGTAGCATTTAAGCCGAGCCTGAGAAATATGGGAGGAATCCTACATTTGGATGATATGCTGGGCTCAAAGGTCTCCTCTAACTGTGAGAAGTCACACTACAAAGTCAGACCTGAACACATCATTAGGATGGGGATGGCAGAAGAGCCCAAAAGACAGTGGGGTCCCAGGTAAAGGGGAGACAGTGGGTGGCTTGCCATGGTAGAGATCAAAAGGCTGTGGCATGAGCAGACCAGGGTTAGAGCCATATCTCTGCTGCTTGCTCGCTGTGTGATCTTGGGCAAATCATTCTAATGTTCTGAGGCTCAGTTTTCTCTTCTGGGAAATGGGTAGGACCAGGACTGGCTTCATAGCCATGCAACCTGTGCAGTTGCCTAACCAAAAAAAAAAGAAAAGAACTCATTGCTGTCGAGTCGATTCCAACTCATAGGGACCCTATAGGACAAAGGAGAACTGCCCCATAGAGTTTCCAAGAAGTGACTGATGGATTCAAACTGCTGACCTTTTGGTTAGCAGACGAACTCTTTACTATGTCACCAGGTCTCTTGGGGCAGTTGCCTAGGGTCCCATGTTTAGAAAGGTGCTGTGCTCAGTTTTATGCTCTGCTCTTGCTGTCTTGAAATTCTTAATAATTTTTAAACTAGGGCCCCATATTTCCATTTTGGACCAAAAACAAAAACCAAACCTGTTTTGTCGAGTCGATTCTGACACATAGCGACCCCTATAGGACAGAGTAGAACTGCCCCATAGCAGGCCCTGTAAATTATGTAGCCGATCCTGGGCAGGACTGTCCATTGCATGTGACAGTGACCCAGCTGAAACTGACCAGAGCTGGCTGGAGGCTCAGCTGGATCCAGGCTTCCAAAGCTGCCACCAGGACTCTGTCCCCCTCCATCCCTCGGCCTTGCTCTCCTCCGAGTGGCTCTCTTCTCCTCCTGGTGGCTGTCCCCAGGGGAGTCCAAGGTGGCCATAGCAAGCAACTCAGGCTCTCCTCCCACCAGCTTATTGGGAAAGAGAGGGTCGGCTTGGGGCACCACCCGCTGTGCCCGTAGGGTGGAGGGCACCAAGAGGCCAACCTGGGTCTTATGCCCACCCATGGTAGTGAGGGGGCGGGGCTTCTAGCCCCATGGGGTAACTGAGGGGGAGTCCCTCCAAGGAAAGGAATTGCTCTTTCAAAAAGAAGGGAGATGGGTGCAGGGTAGGCAGAAACAACAGAGGCCTCTGCAGGCGTGAGCGAGATAATGAATGTCTGCTCACTCCCCATCCTGCTCACACTTGGCTCAGTAGCTGCCAGGTTGCCAGGGTGACCTCCCTGGGCTCCCAACTCAGGCCTCCTGGGCAATGGGATCCCAAGGCAGAGGCTCCAAGCTGAGCCTGCCTGTGTGACCACAGTCCCTGTGTCCTGGCTTAGTTAAACTCTGGGCTGGAGGATAATGCGGCATTTCCGTGGAAACCACCCAGCCTCAGTGGAAACCACCCAGCCTCTATCAACTTCGTGTGGCAGGGGCCCAGATGGGAAACAGGGAAGTTGAGGCTGCTATGGCAAATGAGGTTGTATAAATAGAGCCTGAGGTTGGTGGGGAGGATGGATGGGTAGCACAGGATGTCAGAGGCGGCTCTCCATGCAGATGCTTCTGGGGATCCCCCTCCTCTCCATACCTCGGGGATCCTCCGTTCTCTGGGGAGCTGAGCTGCAGCACAGATGGTTGAGGCAGAAAGATGTAACCAGACAGCCAGCCCCAGCTGTGTGACTTGGGCAAACTTCTTACTTTCTGTGGTTCCCATTAAAACTGCTCTGGCCCACTTCAAGGTATCGGCATGCAGTTTAAATGCTGATTGAGCTTGATGGGGAAAAATTTGGCTTCCAGAATCAGACAAAAACCCCGAAAACAAACTAGTTGCCATCCAGTCGATTTCAACTCATGGGGACCCCATGTGTGTCAGAGCAGAACTGTGCCCCATAGGGTTTTCAATGGCTGATTTTTCCAAAGTAGATCACCAGGACTTTCTTCCAAAGTGCCTCTGGATGGATTCCACAAGCCTGGGTCCAACTCTTAGCTCCTCTGCATGTTGGCTGTGTGACCTCATATACCAGTTAATTAACCTCTCTGGGCCTCGTTTCCTGCATATCTAAAATGAGGCGACCAGGTAAATACCCGTGTCATAGGTTGCCGACCGGGATTAAATGGAGATAGTACATTAAAAGTGCTTAGCAAGGCACCTGGGACAGAATAAGTGTTGGTAAGAGTTAGCCTCTAGTACTATTGTGATTAGTTGCTGATAGGAAAGCTTTGTAAATTGTAGAGCTCTGTAATGGGGGGGTGGGGGGGATCATGCTCAGAGCCTTATTCCGGGGGAGAGGTGTGAAGTGCGGTCACGGCGGCTGATTTCTCTGGGGTAGTTAAGGGAGTGGGGTGAGGAGCCAGGGCCACGGGTCCATCCGCAGGATGTGGGTTCTCTGAGCACAGCGCTGTGGCACATAGTAGGGCACCCAGGCTGCCTGTGGGGAGCTAGAGGAATCCCCCCACACAGGGCCTCCTGAGCCAGCCTCTGGAACCCCCTGCCTGGAAGTCCCTGCCCATCTCTCCCAAATCCTCTTTCTCAGGAACCAAGAGGCAGATATGTGGTCATCCCCTGGGGCCCCCACTCCCTCTCAGGCCCGCTGGTGTTCCTGCAGCCAGTGCAGGCGATGGTGACCAGCTTTTCCATGTGTGTGTGCCCTGGGAAGGCCTCTAGACAAGGTCCACAGGAGAGGCCAGGAGCAGAGAACTGCCAGGTGGGGCCAGGCTAGGCTGGTGCAAGGTGGCAGCACCCACTCATGGCTGGGCTGGGCATACCACAGGCAGAGGCCCGGTCTTAGCAAGCACAGGTGGTTTCAGGTTTGCCTCGCTTTGCACAGCAGACTTGTTCCTGCAAAGCAGCAGTAAGCGCGACCCTTTGGGGCTGAATCCTTTTGTTCCACGAACTCCTCATCCGCCTTATTCGTAAGCCAGTGTTTTCTCTATGAAGACAGCAAGGAGACCAGTGTCACTGAGGCAGAGTTAAGAGCAGAGGAAACACGGTTGGGAGGAGCAGGGGCCTTATAGGCCACTGAGAGGACACTAAGGGTAGTGGGAGACCACGGGGTGGGGGACGGGGGAGGAAGGGGGTTCAGCAATCACAGGGAATGAGTCACGGTGAAAGGGCTGCTGAGTGCAGAATAGACTGTAGTGGGCAGCAGTGGTCGGCATTGAATGCATGGGGCTGGCTCCCTCATTGGTTCGGACTGCTGCTGAGAATTTGCATTTCTAACAAGTTCCCTGCTGAGAATTTGCATTTCTAACACGGGTCCCAGGAAGTTATACATAAGAATCACCTGGGGATCTCATAAAACTGTGGACTCTCTCAGGGGATATCTAGGTCAACCGGCATAACATAGTTCATAAAGAAAATGTTCTACATCCTACTTTGGTGAGTAGCATCTGGGGTCTTGAAAGCTTGTGAGCAGCCATCTAAGATACATCTATTGGTCCCATCCCGTCCAGAGCAAAGGAGAATGAAGAAAACCAAAGACACAAGGAAAATACTAATCCAGAGGACTAATGGACCACATAAACCACAGCCTCCTGAGCCCAGAACAACGGAGCCTAGAACAACAAGATGGTGCCTGGCTACCACCACTGACTGCTCTGACAGGGATCACAATAGGTGTCCTGGACAGGATGGGAGAAAAATGTAGAACAAAATTGAAATTCATGAAAAAGACCAGACTTACTGGTCTGACAGAGACTGGAAGAACCCCCGAGAATATGGCTTCCAGACACCCTTTGAACTCAGAACTAAAGCCACTCCTAAAGTTCACCTTTCAGCCAAAGATTAGACATGCCTATAAAACAAACAATAACACAAAGGAACCTCCTTCTTAGATCAATCAAGTATACGAGACCAAATGGGCAACACCTACCCAAAAGCAAAGGCGAGGGCAGGAAGGGACAGGAAAGCTGGATGAATAGAAACGGGACAAATGGGGGTGGAAAGGGGGAGAGTGCTGACACATTGGCAGGATTGCAACCAATGTCACGAAACAATTTGTGTACAGTTTTCTGAGTGAGAAAAAAAATGTAAATTTTAATTCAGTATATCTGGGGTAGAAATGCAAATTCTCAGCAGGGAACTTTGTAGAAATGGAAATTCTCAGCAGGGGTTTGAACCAGAACGAAATGGCCTGGGAGGGGTTGTACTGAAACAATTAAATACTCTTGGGCAGTGACCTTGTCCCCAGGATGGTTGTTGGAGGGGGCAGTTTAAGTAGATGTGACCAGACTTGGGTTTCAGACAGTCTGAGCTGGGTCCTTGCCCTGCCCTCTGCAGGTGAAGCAGGAGATGGGCAACATCGTGATGGAGCTCATCCGGAACTACAACAGCAGCCACAACAACAGCGCGCAGAATACGTGGGACTACGTACAGGCACAGGTAAGGCAGGCAGGGACTTGGGCTGGGGGAGGGACGGGACAGAGAGAGGCTCGCTGGCCTGTGTGTGTCTGAATATTGGGGTCTCTGTACTCGTGTGCCTGGGTCTGATCGTCCTTGGTGCCTGTGTATGCCTGACAGTGTGTATCTGCTGGGGAGTGGGGGGCTTCTCATCAGCCCCCTCCCGGGCACCCCAGCCAACAGCACAGTTCTTGCTCAGGGCCCATGGTCTCAGAGGCAGCTCCTTGGCTCGTGGTACCCCGATCTGTGGCAGAGGAAGAGGGCAGCTCGCCACCCTCTCAGCCCAGACCAGCCTGGGAGGGTTGGGAGCTCCACCCTGGGTGTTAAGAAACTGATGCCAAGGCTGATAACCAAAAAAAAAAAAAACCCAAACCCATTGCCGTCAAGTCAATTACGACTCATAGCAACCCTATGGGACAGAGTAGAACTGCCCCATAAGGTTTCCAAGGAGCACCTGGTAGATTCAAACAGCTGTAGCTCTCAACCACTGTACCACCAGGCTGATATGCTGATAGAAGTCTGAGTGGAGGCTGCCCCTGGGGGAGGGTAGTGACTGGGGAGGTGTCCGAGGGAACCCTCTGGGGTGACGAGAATGTTCCATCCAAATCTTGATCTGGGTGGTGGTGATGTCAGTGTATACGTACGTAAAAATTTATCAAGCTGAACTCTTCAGATTTGTTCACTTTACATATTTGTATTACCTCTCAATTAATTAGAGAGAGAGACAGACATACTCACCAGCTGACTGACTCACTGACTGACTGGTTGACAGACTGACAGGCTTGCTGGCTGACTGACTAGGTTCCCAACCGGCCTTGATGGCAAACCAGTCGTCACACACAAATGAGCCATGATGGTTGGGTCTCGGTGTCCTCTTTATTCTGGTCCTGGATGTTGTATGTCCTTGGCCGGGTCTCCCCTCTCTGGGCGGCAGCCTCCTCCTGTCTCCCGTGAGGTTGCTGGACACAGTGGTCACTTAGGACCTGCCTGACCCACCAACCACTGCCTTGGGGGAGAGGGCTGTGGTATGTGAGGGATGGCGGCAGGGGCAGCAGGAGGAAGCCTGGCTCTGAGGCACCAGGATAGTTTGGAGATGTGTTAAACCAGGTCCAGGAGGCAAGGGCACCTCCCTTCTCTGAGCTGTGAAAAGAGGCGGGGATGTTTTCTGGTTTACATACCTCACAGACAGAGGTGGATTATCCCATAGGCAAGGTAAGCACGGTGCTTACCTTGCTTACCAGCTCATCTGTAGAGAACAGTTTCACATTTTTTCACCACATCAAAGATTCTGCTTCTAGGTATGGCTGGCATCTGTCTCTCTCCCAACCCCACAGCAGCTTCCTATAGAATCAAAGCCTCTTTTCAAATTTATAATCCCTGACAGGGACAGATGACCCAGTCAGTGAGGTAATCATGGGTTTACTCGTGCTTACTTACTAATCTATAGTGAACAATTTCAAATGTAGAGAAACCCATGTGAAATTGTTCACTACAGATTAGTAAGTAAGCATGAGTAAGCCCATGCTTATCTCACATATTGGGTCATCCGCCCCTGCTCACAGACTTTGGTGAGAATCAGAGGAGCTCAGGTGTGGGGTAGGGGCTATGTCAGCTTGGTGCACGTAGGAGCTGTCTCATGACACAGTTAGTTTGAGCCACAATTGCTGAGACCATTTGCTAAGATAAGAGGGAGATGGATGTCCTAGGATGGACAAGTGCCACCCTTCAAGAAGCCTGGTGGAGAGAGGGGTCCCTTGGGAGGTAATTGACCAGATGGGAGGTAGCAGGGAGATTCCTGCATTAGGCAAGGCCTCAGAGGATTCTGACATCTGGGGCATTTCCAGCACATGCTCAGCCCCTAGGATCTCAATCCCACTCCCCTGAGGATGCTTTTGTCTGGAGTTCAAACCCAGATGTGATCCAATGCCTCTGGGGACCCCTTCATGAACCCCACGGAGCCCAGAAACACTTTCTTCTCCTCTGAAACTCCAGCATTCTCTCCTCTAAAAAGACAAAATTGACTATGTCTCTTTTTTCATTTTGGCAACTAGGAAGCTCAGAGCCAAATCTCAACTCCAGCATGTGCTCAGCATCTGAAAGTGGAACTGGTGTCTACTGAGCGCTTACTATGCTTTCCAGACCCGCGCGGGCTACTTTGCCTGCGCTTCCCATTCAGTCCTCATAGCAGTCCTGCGAGTTAGGAACCTTCCTTATCCCCATTTTGCAGATAAAAGACTGAGGTCAGTAACTTGACCAAGATTACTCAGCTGGGAAGTGGCAAAGCTGGAATTTGAGCCAGGAGGGCTGCCAGCTTGAGGTGGGTGTGGCCACAAATCAGCCTGTCCCTCTTTGTGCCCAGGTGCACTGCTGCGGCTGGGTCAGCTTCCAAAACTGGACGGAGAATGCTGAGCTCATGAGTAGCACCAACATCACCTACCCCTGTTCCTGCAAGGACAAGAAGCAAGTGAATGACGGACCTGTGATGGGCTTCTGCCAACTGCCCAGCAACAGCACCGTGATCGGCAACGACCCTGAGTACTGGCCGGTGTACGAGGAGGTATGTGGAGGGCTGTAGGGCCAGGGGTGGCCTCTGAGGGATTTCGGCGCCTTTTGGGCTCAGGGACTCCCTGTGGGTTTATTTACTCAGCCCAGCCAGGGTTGCAGGGACCACAGCTCAGTCCTCCCTCCCTTTCTTTCTCTCACCCTCTCCTTCCTCTCCTCCCTCCCACTTCTTCTCTCCTACTTCCTCCTTCTCACTTCCTCCTGCTCCCTCTCCCCTCCTTCCCTTCCTTTCTCCTACCCCCTTCTTCTCCTCCTCCCTCTCCCTTTCTCCCTCTTCTCTTCCTCCCATTTCCTCCCTCTCCCTTCCTCCTTCCCACTTCCTCCATCTCTTCCTCCCTCCCACTTCTTCCCTCTCCATCCTCTCACTTCCTCCTTTTCTCTTCCTCCCTCCCACTTCCTCCACTTCCTCCCTCTCCCTTCCTCTCTCCCACTTCCTTCCTCTCTCCCACTCTCCCTCTTCCCTCCCTCCTTCAATTGTTTCTTCCTTTGATTTATTTGTTGTTTGTCAGTGTGATCCTCTGTCTCCTCATTTGTAAATTTATTTATTCAAGGACCACACAGACCCCTCTATACAGGCCGTTTGGGTTGGGGGTGGACCCTGGGGTGCTTCTGCCAGATGGTGGGATGTGGCCCAATATGGGGTGATGTGGGGTAACGTGGTCATGTTCTCCCCTGCAGGGCTGCATGGAGAAGGTGCAGGCATGGCTGCAGGAGAACATGGGCGTCATCCTGGGCGTGTGTGTGGGCGTCGCTGTCATTGAGGTCTGGGTCCCCTCCTCTCCAGCCCCTCCCCACACTCTGTCCTCCCTGATTGCCCCTGCTCCACCTACGGGGCCAGCGGCCCTTCAGCTTCTAGAGGCCCTACTACACCCTGGCCCAAGCACTGCCCGGTTCTGTGACCTCAGGCAAGGTGCTGTCCCTCTCTGCGCCTCCCTCTGCTGCCTGCATCATGCGGTGGTTGTGAGGCTCGAGTTGAGGATCCATGTATTTAATCCAGATCAAACCTGTATGTTGAACTGGAACGTGAGATGCTTCTCTGCCTCGTGGCATGGCTGGGGCGGGGGAGGGGGCTGGGCAGGCCCACCTCCCATCTCTCTCTCCCTCACTCCTGTCTCTTCCTCCACAGCTCCTGGGCATACTCCTGTCAATCTGCTTGTGCCGGCACATCCATTCTGAAGACTACAGCAAGGTCCCCAAGTACTGAGGCAGCTGCTGTCTCCACCTCCCTGCCCATCCCTCCACCTCAGGGCTCCTAGGAGCCTCCCTGGCTCCCCTCCAGGCCCACCTCCCACCTCACTGCCAAGCCCCTTGCCCTTCCTGTGCTGGCTGGAAGTGGGGGGCTTTCTGGGTCCTGGATGCCTCTCCCTGCCGTTCTCCCACCAGCTGGACCCTGGCCCTCTGTGGCCTCTCCACCACTGCTCCCAGGGTTCTCTTAGCCATGTCCCTGCCCGTAAGCGTGGGCCAGCTTTCCCCACCCTCGAGGCCTTGTATACTGTGTAAGGGAAAGCATATTAAACAATTGGGGGGAGGGGTTACATACGGCAGGCACCCTGGGATATCAGGGAACTGCCCCCTGTGGGGGGAGGGGCTTTTTATCCTCTATGACGCTATGTCTTTGGTTTTCACATTTTTATTGAGGGTAGTGGGAGAGGATGGGTGTACTTGACATTAAGAGGCAGCACCTCTTCCTCTGGCCTGCCCTGTCCCAGCCCCCCATCCAAGCAGCTCAGATCAGCTGGGGCCAGGCAGGACCCAGGTGGGCTGGGCCGAAAGGGATCTGTGGACTTGCCCTGGACTGCTTAGGGGGCCAGAGGGTTAAGCCCTCAGGGCCCAGCCCAGAGCTGCCCCTGCATCCCCTGAGATCCTGAGCCATCCAGGGGGTGGGGGTGGGGGTAGGGCAGAGGTTCTCTCCTGGGAGAAGCTGGCCTGGCCTTTCTTGTCAGGCAATTCTCTGTCCCCCCGGAGTGGAGTGGGTGAGGCTGTGCCTTGTCGGGAAGTAGGGCGGCGCTCTGCGTACACAGTTCTGTAAAACATATTTTGTAAAGACTATTAAAGAGGATTTGTAACAACTCAGCCTGCCACAGGGGGGCGCTGCTTCCTGGGGTCACTGTGTCGGCTGGGAAGAGCGGTGGGCTCCTTGCTGTTGTCCCCCAGGGAATGGGGCTCTCTGGCAGTGTCTGCCCCTGCTCAGCCTGGCACACTTGGAGAGGGATGGGCCGGGCTCCAGGGTCGGGGGGACAGAGGGCTCTCTGTCTTAGGAGGCAGCCGAAGTGTGGCTTGTATGTTGAGACAGGTGTAAACCATACCTCTGGGCTGCTGCTTCTGAGACCAGGGTATAGGTGCCCCTGGAAGAAGTGGACTGGAGAGGGAACTCAGAGAAGCCACAGGATAAAGTCAGCCTGCCTTTCTAGAGCATTCGATTTTTTGTAAAGATTTGTGGAGGAAACATTTTCAATTGAAGACATAGGATGGAGTAAGATGTGCAGAATTCAGGGAGATTTTTAAGGTGAAATATGAGACTTGAAAGGAAACTTGAACTTGTGCACAGCTCCAGTGGCTGAGCCCACCGCCCCCCACACACACACCCACCCCTGCCTGCCCCTTAGGACCTTTAGGGCAGCTTTGGTACAGATGAGGTGGGAAGTCCCCCTGGTCTGTGGTGGGTTAGGAAAGCTGGGGGAAAGCTGACCTAGGAAGCTGCTCCTTTCCCACTTCTCCGGGTCCCTGAAGGAGCAGGAAGGGGTGGGGTGGGAGCATTCTTTCCCCTCATTCCTGGAGACCTGGGCCCACCTCCCCTCCCTGCAGTGGCGCAGGCCACGTGGTGGACGGGAGTTGTGCCAGCAGAACCCACCAGGTGGCGCTGCTGCCTCAGCCTAAGAACCCAGCGGAGGCCAAAGTCGTTCTGTGGCTACTCCAACTACCTCAGCAGCCCCAGGCCTGTGGGTCTCACACTCCAGTGTGAGCACTTGTGAAGATGCAGATTCCAGGGCCCAGGAATTCTGATGCAGAAGATGTCAGGAGGGGGCAAGGAATCTGCATTTTTACTAGGTCCCTGAGGTGATTTTGGACTCATGTGGCTTTAGTTTCTCAGACCCTGGGAAGATGCAGCCACAAACTGGCTCCCCAAAGAGAGATGCTGGGGGTGGGAGGGGGCCAGCCCCTGGCCAGAGAGCCTGTCTTCAGCAAAGAGGAGGCACACCCAAGGGACAGTCTAACTCTTGATCTGAACCTAACTAATTTTTTGCAACAGATTTTCTGTGGCTGAGATATGGGCAAACCCACTTTCAGGCCTGTAGGAGGCACTGGGCCTGTGGGGGCTTAGGCTCCGTGGGGGCTTTACTCTGCCTCAGTCAGGGACTCTCCCTGCAGCTGCTTACTGGGCTCTGAGGGCTGGCTCTAAGGGCTAGGGACTGCAAGTGAAGCTGGGCCAGTTTATTTTATTTATAACCTACCTCATTCCACAAAGGAAGTACATATAATAAAATAGAAATAAAACATTAACAGGGAAAATATACATTTATGAGCAAGTATAGACTTGAGTGAAATAGACACAGCTGAGTTGCCCATAAGGTTACTTATCTGGTGATGGCAAATGCACGCTAAGTATGTAGGGTGCTCTCCATGCCAAATTCACAGCAGACATCACTAATTGATCACAGCTCTCATTTTCTTAGCTCAGATGCACTCTAGCCATGCCTCTGGTAGACATCACTAATTGCAGCCTCAGAATCCTCAAAGCAGTGCTGTCAGTCAATCTAATGGGAATGCAAAATGAAGTCACTGTTCTTGAACTCTGGTTGTTCAGTTGAACCATGTATAATTTTGCCTCTGAGCTTCCTGATGGTCAAGGCAAAAAAGGAGAACGTTTGTCAGTTACGTAGCACTCGTTTTCCCAGACTCCTTGGGAAAAGCAGTTTTCCTCATGTTTAACTGCTAGGAGGAGTGTGGTTGGCTGGAGTCTAGAATTCAAGACCACCCCTAAACATACAAACCTTGATAGCCCTTCATGACTGGAGCAAGAGCAGTCATTGGGCTGAAAAACATACTGTGTGCCTGTCCTGGGCTGGTTGTTGGCAGTAGGGACAAAAGTGGGACTTTCTGTCCAGGAGGAACTGGGAAGACCCAATGAATGCACAGGAAGCTTTGGGTGACAATCTTACATGGTAGTTGGCACTTAGACAGTACTTCTTCTGCGCCATGTTCCACTGACATGTGGTGGCGCAACGGTTAAGCATTCGGCTGCTAACCGAAAAGTTGGTGGTTCGAACCCACCAAGCCACTTTGTGGGAGAAAGACTTGGTGATCTGCTCCTGTAAAGATTACCACCTAGAAAACCCTACGGGGCTGTTCTACTCTGTCACATGGGGTTGCTATGAGTTGAAAATTGACTCAGCGGCACCTAACAACAATGACAACAATAGCCCTGTGGGAGGGCAGTGGTGGTTTCCTGGTAGAATCCTCACCTTCCATGCAGGAGATCTTGGTTTGATTCCTGGCCAACGCACCTCAAGCGCAAGCACCACCCGCCCGTCAGTGGAGGCTTGTGTGTCACTGTGACGCAGAACAGGTTTCAGCACAGCTTGTAGACTAAGATGGACTAGGGAAAAAGGCCCAGTGATCCGTTTCCAAAAATAAGACAACAGATTCCCTATGGATCACTACAGTCTAATCTTGTTATGCATGCGGTCACCATGAATCGGGGGCCAATTCAACAGCCCCTAAAACAACAGTCTTATGAGAAGCATGTTCATATTATCTCCATTTTACAGATGAGGACAATGAAGTGTAAGAGGTTAAATAACTTCCTCAACATTCTGTTGTTGGTAAGAGGACAAGCAGGGAGTCACACCATGTCTATCTGGCTGCACAGTCTACGCTCCCAACCCCTACCTCCCATAGCCTCCATAAACCAAAAAAACCAAACCCATTGCTGTTGAGTGGATCGCAACTCATAGCAACCCTATAGGACAGAGTAGAACTGCCCCATAGAGCTTTCAAGGAGCACCTGGTGGATTCGAACTGCCAGCTTTTCGAACTCTTTAACCACTATGTCAGCAGGGTTTCCTCCTGAAGTCAGACCATTGCTCTCACAATTGGGGTCTGTTCCACATTCACTTCCCATCTGCTTTGTGCCACAGGAATCTCAGGCGCTATCCTGTTCCTGAGAGTAGGGAGAGCTCGGTGGGTGAGAAGAGGCAGCTACTGGCTAAGTTAAAAGACAAGGCTTGGTCCCTGGCTGTGGGTTAAGGGGGGGTCCCCTCATCAGATAGGAGAATCTGGGGTTCCTGCTGGACTCTGAGCTGTTGGGGCCGGGAACAGGTCTGATTGAGCTTAGAGGTCCCTCAGTGCTCACCTAGCAACTTCCACATGACAAGGCCTCAGAAAGGTTCGTCACTGCCCGTGCCCTTGCCCTGAGAAAGGACTCAGGCTCGTGAGTCAGGCAGACCTGAGTTCAAATCCAGTCTCCGGGGCTTCGTAATGGTGTGACCACTGACAACCGTCTTCACCTCTTGGGGCCTCACTTTCCTCATCTGATCACTGGGAATGGGAATGTTAACAGGGCCGTGGGAGGCTTTGTCTGTGGCGTGGAGTACGTAACGCCCTCGGCAAGGTGCCTGGCATGGAATAACAACTCAATACTTCTACATTCTCTTGCTCTTTTGAGGGGTTCAGCATCCCTGAACCCCAAACCAGTGTGTGTGTGATTGTTTTCCTTGGCTTTGCTCATCTCACAAAGGCTCCCAGCTGAGCAGACATCTTTCAGGTCTCTGTCCAAGATCTCAGCAGTGGAGGGCGTGGGGGGCGGACGGAGGGTGAAGGTCTGCAGGAGGTGGCGACTAGATGCACAGGGCCCTACCGGACAGGGCAGGAGAATGGGCTGCCAGATGGTTGCAACTTCCCTACCCTTCACTCCTGCCTGGTGGTGGGTGCCTACCGGGGAGAAGTGGACATGAATGGAGCCAGAGCACCCCCGCCCCGTCCTGATCTTGCCGTGCCCTAGCAGAGCCTCCGCCGGCCCCTTCCCTGGGGTGTTCCAGGTGAGCAAGTCCCCAGTCCAAGGAGCAGCAGGATGGGGCACTAATGACACCGAGGGCCCAGCCACCAGGGTGTCTCCTGGGCCGGAACTGCCACCCCCTTTCCCCTGCAGAGGGACAGAGACCCAAGTTGCCTCACTGCCTCAGGGCAAATGTCTAGATGCTTTCTGGGGTTTTTGGAGCCTGTGGACTGAGACTCATTCGTTCATTCATTTATCATTCAGTGAATACTCAATGAGCACCTCTTCTATGCCGGCACTGTTTTAGGCTCTGGGAACCCAGCAGTGAACAAAACCAAAGCCCCTGCCCACATGGTGCCCGTATTCTGGCAAATGCAGGGACTCTTATACACATACTTGTAAACGCTTACACACACAGACACACGTGCACACAAGCGGCACACACGTGTACACCAAGCACACCCACTGCAAGTGCACGGGGACATACAGCACACAGCTGCCAACTGCTGACAGCACAGTCCCGGCCGAGAGTGGCCGTGGGATCCCCGGGGCCCATCCAAGGCCTCTGGCATCCTGTGCAAGGAAGTGGAATAATGAACAGCAAGTGGAACAAACAGGAAAGGGGGCGGAAGCCTCCACTCAGCCCCTTCCCCTCCAGCCACACTCTGAAAGGATCAGCCATTCCCCGCTGCCCCCCCCCCTCCCCCCAGGCAACTCCCCTCCCAGCTGAAATCAAACCAAATAAAAACAGCCACCGCTCACTGGCAGTGATCCAGGGTAAGTGACTTCACTGCTCTTGGCCTCAGTTTCCTCGTCTGTAAAATGGAGGCTGTAATACATAGCTCCCAGTGCTATTGTGGAAGTTAAATGAGATAATGTACATAGCAAGCTACTT